TGATGATTGTGGCACAACTGTTTGTCCGCTAAGAGAGAAGCGACAAAACAAAGGAGCCACGGCATCGATATGAGCATAAAAAGCAAAGCAACACAAGTCCATGTTATTAGAAGAATGTTATCAAAGAGTTTTAATGGAACTCACTCACTCTGCCCGCTCTGATTACTCTTGCCCTGGTTTATTTCTAATATTGCTATAGTTACCGGAGTCATTCATTATGAAATATTGACTGAACTGGTCTAATTATTTTCTCACAAATGTGTCTAGAAGTGGAGATAATATTTATAAATGTTCAAGCTATTGTCCAGTAGATAGGACTTTCAGACATTTGATAAATAAGGCGTTTTTTTTTTTAATCTAATCATTATCAAGTCATGGTCTGGAACAACAATATAAGGATATTTTCATTATCAATATTTCTTTCAAAAAAATATGTTTTTCAATTTTTCAGTTTATGTAGTTAAAATATAGAAAGGGAATTTGTGAGACAGGCTTCTACTCTGACATTGATCAAATCCAGGTTAAAAAGGTTGTTGTACTGTGAGTATGTGTTTTATGTTCATGTCTATAACTTCAATTTGGTGTCTTGTTTTGTTAAATGTAAATCTATGTAAATAAGCTTGCCTTAAATACTTTGCTCTGAGTAAAGGAGACAAAGAAGCACCCTTTCAACCCTATACTTTCAATCTCAATTTCAATGATCAACCCAATATGGCCTATTTCATGATAATTACCATATTGACATTATGGTTAATAATTTGACCACATAAACCTAAATCTTTTGTATTTTTGTAGAACGATGAGTTAACATGTGCACCTAATACTTACAAAAGACTATCGATAACTCTACATTACCCATAGAGAGCGCTTGTGCTATTTGTGCATATCCTTTGGAGAGTTTCGACTGGGGAAAGTGAAATGTGTGACAGGAAGAAACATATTACTGCAAAACTTTTGTCATGACAAAAACACGTCCGAGATGTTCAGATGTTGGACATGATTAAAGCCAACTCGTCTTGAATGAATGTGGCCCATTACACTCTATTGACAGCAGTGAGTCATCTCCGAGAAGCAGCCAGGCTTTTTGATAGTAATCCAAGCACAGCAGCCGCAGTAGTAGTAGTAGCAGCAGTAGTAGCAGCAGTAGTAGCATCAGTAGTAGCAGCAGTAGTAGCATCAGTAGTAGCAGCAGTAGTTGCAGCAGTAGTAGCAGCAGTTTTAGCAGTATTAGTAGTAGTAGCAGCAGTAGCAGTATTAGTAGCAGTAATAGTAACAGCAGTAGTAGCAGCAGCAGCAGTGATATCAGTTATAGTAGTAGTACTAATAGTAGTAGTAGTAGTAGCAGGAATGATACCAGTAGTAGTGGCAGTAGTAGTAGCAGGAGTGATATCAGTAGTCGTAGCAGTTGTAGTTAGCAGGAGTGATATCAGTAGTAGTAGTGGTAGTAGTAGTAGCCGCAGTGATATCAGTTGTAGTTAGCAGGAGTGATATCAGTAGTAGTGGTAGTAGTAGTAGTAGCAGCAGTGATATCAGTAGTAGCCGCAGTGATATCAGTAGTAGTAGTGGTAGTAGTAGTAGTAGTAGCCGCAGTGATATCAGTAGTCGTAGCAGTTGTAGTTAGCAGGAGTGATATCAGTAGTAGTAGTGGTAGTAGTAGTAGCCGCAGTGATATCAGTTGTAGTTAGCAGGAGTGATATCAGTAGTAGTGGTAGTAGTAGTAGTAGCAGCAGTGATATCAGTAGTAGCCGCAGTGATATCAGTTGTAGTGGTGGTAGTAGTAGTAGTAGTAGCCGCAGTGATATCAGTACTAGCAGCGGTGATAGCAGTATTAGTTGTAATAGTAGTAACAGCAGTATTAGTAGCAGCAGTAGCAGCAGCGGGGATAGAAGTAGTAGTATAAGTACAACACATAACATATACAGAGACAGTGCAGGGCTGAGGGGGCGTGGCCTCCTCATATCTAGGGCTGCCAGTCGATAAAAGCCAATGGTGGAGGTGAAAAGGGCAGAATATTGTCATGACTGAGCTCTTGTTGTGTTTTGTGGCACGCATCACAAAGAGACGCACCGAGGAAGAATTGTAAAGGTTTTTGAAACGTTTAATCAAATAATCTTCCTCATAATATGTGGTTTTGTAAATGTAAATACTTCTTAAATGTATTTATGAAAGGCCCATCTCCTTTCCATGTTTTTTGGCGGCATCAACATTTCATAGATATAACTAGTGTTGATGTCTTTGCCAACCCTTATGTCAAAGTTATGAATCTTATTTGACATGTTTAATACTCGGGTCACAATAAGGGGACTGACACGTTTAATAAAAATAGATAATAATGACCACATTTAAGAATTAAAATATATCTTCTAAAAGTCTAAACTTTTAATTGGATTTTTTTTTTGTGATAATGTGAACGAAAGGGATTTCTCATTTGGTCATGGAGTCAATTTTAAATATAATTTCCCCTTAGCGGCACTGATATCCCTTCTGTATCAGCCTTACTTCAAAAAGATACTTATCAAAAATTGGTTTTCAAGTGTTATTTGATCTGCAAGCAACTACAGGTCAGCCCGATATATAATGTATAAAAGTAAAAACAACAACATGGATTTTCTGTATTATAAAGTGCCATTATAAAGTGCCATTATAAAGTGAAGGTTAAGGTGCAGTGCCATAGGGCCTCTGTCAGGAGCAGTGGTCACCGCAGTGCAGATGCTGATGCTTGGTCTGGTCAGGACGGCCGCAGCTGGAGGATCTTACTGATGGCGCCTGTTTTTGACCATGAGCGAAAAACTGAAGAAATTGGCACATTCTACACCATACCAAACAGTCTTACAGAATCAAACAAAATCTCTCCATTTGCTCCTGTATGTTCTATGAGTTGCTGTTGAAGTTCCCTTGTTTGGTATTGTCAGAGATTATCTTTAATATGTTTTAATTTCATGGAAGGACAAGAGTGTTCTGTCTGCATAAAGAACTTTGGCTTGTAACATTAGGTTGTTAGATTGCCAATCATTATAATAAATCAAAAAACCATTTCAGCCTGTGATTTTATGTCTGTGCTAATTCAATTGTCTACTTTGATGTGACATGTTGTGCATCATCTTTTGAATCAAATCGACAGTTTTGGTGAAGCATTCTCAGCCCATGGTACTTGACACTGAAGACAGCTAATAGGATTATAAAAGCGTTATAAAAGCCATACACTGGCAATTAATTGGCCTTATTAAAGCTTGGGTAAGGACTTAATTCACAATGGACAAATAGTGGGATAGTCACTAAAGGATTACCCCTGAAATAAGTCGCTACTAAATCTGCCTAATTATTCATCTATCTTGGATTACATTATGAACTCTAAGGGTTGTTTCAAGATTTGGAAAAGAAAGCTGGCCTGAGTGAACTACATCCAGCCCATTTAAAACTCTTTCACTGCTGTAGATCCTAACCCTCACAAACGTTTAAATCCATTGTTAACGTGCACTTTTTCAAACCATATGAAAAGTCAAGAAGGTTAAGCAACTAAAAATGATCTAAATCGATCTAGATGAACGCACTACATCATATGGTTTTCCCCTCACACACTGTGTGTGTTCCCTCCATATACATGCTCTTCATATGGTGGGTACCAAAACATGATTTGAAATCAAATGTGAATCACAGTTACAAGTTTGCACAACACAATATTGAATGATTTGGTGAGCACTCATAGTAGGTCTGTAGTCGGTTGATCTATTTGACACATATTTGATACTAGTAAGATGCCATTTGTATAAACATAATCTCTTGCTGAGTCCAGAGATTCCTCAGCCGTCATTGGTGAACTAGGCACGTCCAGCTCTGATGCATAATGACAGTGATGCTCTTTGATCAAACGTGCACACAGCTGTATCAAAAGCTGCACATTCCCGCCCTTTGTGGACCTCTGCAGAAGTCTGCGTCCTCTGGGACAGTGTTAGCTGTCCCTTCTCTGCTCTCTGCTGCAGTGCACACTGTTTTATTCGCCTCAGCATTACACCTGGAGCAGCCACTAATCTGAGCTCAAATGAATGATTGATATGGCACCAGATGTTTCCCGCACACACTGTTTGGAAGTGAGCGGGCTCAGGCAGCACAGGTCTGGCTCCTGTGAGAAGAAAATTAGCTCAAATGAAAAGCCATTTCATAAAGCACCTAGACTGACATGACGTGGCCCGCATCCAGCGCGAGGCTCAGATGTGCTGGCCCCGTGGATAGAGGCCCGGTGGGGATGAGCCTCAACACTCGAGGCGAAGAGATGTGGACGGTGGTGCATTCATTAACAGGGAGCTACACATCAGCCTGCATACATTAGCTCAGCGGAGGAAAATGGACGCCTAGCTTCAAAAGACGCATCTCCAGAGACATCACCGCGTAAAGACGCACATGTAACTCTGACCATGTCAAATCGTCCCATCCATCAGCACACAGACGCACAACACATCCGAAACAACTATTATGCTACTGAGCTCATTTACACGAAGCGCTGGCAGTAATGACAGGCCCGTGTAAAAAGACGCAGTTTTCTAATAAAACATGGAGGACCGCCAACTAACTAAGCGACTGCATTTACTGCAGATTGATAATGTGCCATTTGTAAAATTGTGATGGCGTGAGAGAAACACAGCGTGAGACAATCAATTAACCACGTTAACAAATGAGCTGGGTCCTGGAGATTACGGAGTAGCCAGAAGACACACAGTGATTAAAGTGAGGGAAGAAGGCAGGTCTTACCTGAAGGCTTAGCTTATTATTCAACTATTCTGCAGCGCGTCGCTCTCCCACGAACACTGGAGCAGTGCGGAATTATGACACTAAATGACAAGTCTGAAGAGTAGAATAATCTAGAGAAAATGAGGATAAAGCATGTATCAGGCGCTTGCTTAGGAGTTGTGAGGTAATAAACGACCGTGACGGAAACGGCTTGAACGTGCATAAAGCAGCGCACACGTCACTGAGCAGTGGTTTGTCCACAGTGTCGGCCGCTGATGCCTGTGCGCCCGCCGTACGCGCACTGGGGGGAATGCGTCTGCCCCTGCGCGCTGATTGGTCCGCGCCTTGGCTCCTGGATCTCCTTCCCTCCCGACTATCTGCTGCTGCTCTCTCTGACTCCTCCACGCTCCCCGACGACGCAGCCAACTTGTCGCATAGACCCCGAGAAAAAGAAGAGTGAGGTAACGCCCCATGCGCCCCACACAGACCCAAACTGGAGCATTATTAGGCTATAGTCAGTGCGTTTGGTTTAGCCCTTCCTCCATCATACTGGCCTGCTTGTGCTTATTGGAGCGTGTACAGCCTGCTCACTACAGCCCCCTGTGTGTGCCTCAGTAAGTAGACTATTAGCCCTGACCAGTTATGCCACTTATTGACATATTTGACCCCCCCACAGCCCCCCCTGCAGAGCTACCCTACTGGGACCTCCTCCCTCTGCTGCTGATGGACCTCTGGGAAATGTAAAGTATCAAACAGGTGTTGTTGGCTGATCAATATGTAAAAGCAAAGAGGATTTATAATGGACTCTCCCGGCCAATTATGTGTGTGGAGAGATTAATGCAGTGTGTGTTTTATGAAGTTATGTCATGCACAGATCCATACTGGGGCGAGATGCACAAAAGTGAGGGGACAATGACCTTCAGTGGCTTTGGAGTGGGCCTGTGCCTCTTACACACAGACGAAAGGCAGAGCTAATGCAGAGTGACGGCTCTTTCATGCGGTGATGGTGATGGTGAAAGAGAAATCCACTCAACTTGCAGCACCACACACACATCCATACATTAGGCGCACGGCCAGGCGCTGGAATCACATGTGAACAATGTGCTCCTAATAGGGTAATACATAAAAAGACAAATAGTATTTAAAAGGAGGCATTTGAGCATGATGCCTGCTCTGAGTTGTTCATCGGCTGTCATGTTCATTATCATCCTGCACACTATCTGAGCAGGACGTTCTGTGGTTCTATTGACTTGTGGATGGTGTGTGGATCTTTCACATCCTAATGTAACATTAGCAGTTTCACACTGTCAGAGTTATTTAACAGGCCTGACCTTGACAAAACAGCACAAATGTGTTAAGGCTTCATTAATCATTTGAATGTAAAGTTAAAATATGCATTATCCAGTGATTGCAGCAAACACACACATATGTTGTTTGTACTCAGTCCCGAAACACGACAGAGGGTGACCGCAGCTGACACATGTCCGCTCACATGTCATATAATGTACAGCAGAGGAATCAATAGCGGCCTGGGGCACTGTCAATGACTGAGGAGGAGGCTATTGTGGGTATACAGGCCTAAAATGTTTTACACTCATAGTGATAAAGATGTCTCGGTTTGCATACATTCTGCTAACATTTGAGAAAGAACATTTGCACTAAAAGCTTGAGTTTTATTTCAGCGTTCGTACAAATAAAATAATGTACAAAAACAGTTTTGCTGAAGCACAGCCACAGCAAAGAGTGAACAACTCAAGCCATAGTGATCAATGGTGTCCAGATGCATGTGGCTGCAGTGCTGACTAAGTCTAGTGGCAGAAGCCATGCTACAACAATATAAGAGTGTGTAGGTGTCATTCTACAGCTATACGCTTGAAAATATTAAAATGTCCAGATTAAGCTGAGATGCCAGTTAGCAAGGCACTACTAAAATAGTCAAACCAAAGCATTGTTTCATGAAATTATTTGAACCTCACCTAAACTAAACATGGCATCAATGTAAAATATGATATTACATTTTCCACCTGGGTCCATGAGCCTCACAGTGATAATAAACCTATACCCTGTTCTCTGGGGCACGTTGGTGTTTATTAGAGTTATACATCAACACATGCTCATGATATGCAGCACTGTCTACTTCTGTGAACATCACACTTGCAAATGTTAAGCTATAATCATATTGTATATTACTTAACTATAGAATCGTAAATAAATGGATAGAATCATTATCATAAATTCAGTCTGTTGATGTCCAGAATGTCATGAACTTATTTTCTCTATATGTCCCATCTATTGATATTCTATTCTGTCAAGGTTATGAATCAAAAACATATTTTGTCTGTTCAAATCTTCAATATACAACATCCTTCTCGGGTCCATTGTGCTGAGTTCTTCATAATAAGTGAGTTTCTCCAGTCCAGTGCATGTGCTGTGCGTCAAGGCCTGGGGCTGCTGCAGGGTCAGTGCAGGGACATGACCAGCAGAGGGCGTCAGACTGCTGTCAGTGTCAGGGTGTCACTCAGCATCCAAAGGGTGTGCCTCTGTCCAAAGCTCCATGAGTCAGTTACAGAGTTTCATTCATGATTTACTGCAGGGAAACACAGCTGCCTTGGTTACGTCTGTGTAGTTTAGAAAAGTTTGGCTTCTGATATTGTATCCCTTTTGCATAACTCCTCTTCTGCACACTTATTGTTGGCTATACTCTCATCCTGCTGCGTGGTCTTCATTATAATAATGATGAAATCCATATATCAAAATGAGACGAGGAGCATAGCACAACAGAGTCTAACATTTGCTGTAATAGTAGAAAATACTTAAATATTTTTATTTTTGCTTTGTACATTTCCAAGTGCACAGTTTTCCCGCAGCACTGCAGCATGTTGGTATTCTGCTGCAGACCCCAACCCTCCCTCTACCCTCTTTCTATCTCCTCCTCTCTCACCCTTCCCCCCTCTGCACCTCTACTGTCACTCTTGAGGGCTTTTTCAGGACACATGCTCAAGTTCACAATGTTTTCCTTCTTCTGTGTCACCAAATCAGTCCCATCTAACTACAGTTCCCTTGAATCCACATCCATCCGTCTTAGCACGGCGACGCTCCCATGTGGACGTGTGCGTGGTAGTGCGGTGGAGGCACAGGGGAGGGGGGCCTGGCCATGGGCAGGGCCTGGCCTTGAGCGTGGGAGCCCCTGGGTAGCGTGTGCGTGCCCGGGTACATGCCACACTGCGGGTTCATGTTGTAACTACCGCCTGAAGATGATCCGGAGGGTGGACTCCCCGTGGCGCCCCCTCTGGGCTGGAGGTTAGCCTTGGCTGCGGACGGTGGGGTCTGGTTGAGCTGGATGGAGATGTCGCTGGAGACTTGGGACGTGCTTCGGCCTCTTTTGGGTGGAGGCCAGGTGGATTCTGGGTGCAGGTATTGGCCGCTGTAGTCGCTGCTCTCGGACATGCGGGGGCGGTAGAGGGCCGGGTGTGGGCGGTACATCTCCTCCTCTGCGTAGCGCTTCATGAAGAGGTAGACGGACAAGACACCCGCCCCCTGGGAAATATACAAGTCATGAGACAAGTTTGAGATGAGATGTGGAAAGAACAAGAACTGCCATGAATAATCCACAACATTTCAGTTCAGAAGAGGGAGAGGGTAATGTTCACATGATCAAAGATGAGGTCATGTATACATAAGACTTTACTTGATGTTGGAGAATATGGGTTGTTCTTTTAGATAAATCCTTTCAAAAAGACCACTTGCAAACATTCTGTTAAATTTTAGAAGTACATGCATGTGAAAACTATTGATGGAAACTGTTTTGAGAGTTAGGAACTTTTATTACATGGTTCAATCATTTGAGGTTTGAAAGTTAGGTACCCAAGCTTTAATACAAACTTCAAAACTGACCTCTTTGAGAAGGAAGGAGGAGGCAGCGAAGGCGAAGGACCAGCCGTAGTGATAGTTGAAGAACTGCTCTGGCTCCCTCGGCCGATTCATCACCTCATCATTGATACTGGAGATGTAGAGCACCAGGCCCACCACCAGACTCAGGCCTGAAGACACACAACACTCACACAATCATACTCCACAACAGTGTGTCCCAAACAGGGGCTCAGGGGACAGAACACTAAAAGGCTGACATTTCAGTTTGTGGTGTGGGTTTGCAATACTGTACTTAAAAAAAAAACTTGAATTCTGATACCGCAGTTACAGTTTATTTAACCCTTTATTTTTTAGAAGCTCAATTTGTGATTTTTAACATATATGTTTAACAGTATTGGCACTTTCTATGGTACCAAAAGGTTGAATTCTTTTCGTGTTGTCAATAAAAAAAAGCATCCATATTTACCCAAATGAGTTGCTAGTTTTGATACTAATTTCATTCTTTTTTTTTATACATTTGACCGAATTTTCAATTAAAAGGCTCGGGAACATTGAATTAGGGCGAGGTAAGGCATGTTTATTTGTATAGCACAGAAAGACATTGATTTTGTGTATTCTCAGGACTACACTTTACAATATGATGCTAAAACACTACAAAAACCTGGCTTTAGAAAAATATTGATATATTGTGTAAATACAGTACAGACGCTAATTGAAAGTGAATGCTCTGTCCTCATTTCCATTATAAAGCGACAAAAGCTGTCTCTGGTCACATGTCGAACCAGATGACAAGGCTATATTTCTGTGATAGAAAAGAAAATGCACAAATCTTGCTCCTGTCAAATATCTTTAAATAAATTATCAAGAGGTACACGTGCCGATCTGACTTTGACTCGTTGCAAGACGTGTTATAGGAAAGTGTGGTTCAGGAAATATGGACTGGAACAGTGAAAGTGAAAAAAATCAGTGTGTGTAGTTATTGTAATTATATTAAGGATCACATATTTTAGGAAACATACACAATTAACCGTTACACTAGTATACTGCTTAAACGTATCTGTACTTTTACTTTGAGGTGTATGCCTAGCTGTCAATCATCATTGTTGTTTATATTAATATTTTTATATGCATTATTTTATTAGTGTTTTTTATGTATTATTTGACTTTGATAGATTCACAATTTACAATGGATTTTGGTTTTTAAAAAACCAAAACAAATTGTGATCTACTAATAGCCCATACTTAAATGCAGTCTTATAGTAGTAGTAATATATGTAGTAGTACTTTACATGTATTACTACTACTACTACTTCTGCAGGAACTAGAACTACCAGAAATACTTCTATTACTTCTACTACTTCTCAAGTAATGACAACTACAGGAAGGAAACTGCATCACCACTACTACTACTACTACGACTACTACTACTACTACTACTACTACTACTGCGACTGCTATGGCTACTACTTCTGCTACTAAAAGTCAACTGCACATACCACTACCACTACTAATGCTACTGCTTCTACTACTACTACTTCTACTACAAGGCAACTACAAGCTACTACAGCTACTGCTGCTGCTTCTGCTGAAAAGTACCCTTATCTAATCTATCAATAATACAACACTTATTGCACTGCATTGCAGTTGCACATTTGATTTGAAGATGCACATTATCAGTTCCTCGGCACAAATGAACTTGTGATGTTCCAATGTAGTAAACAAGGCACCGGTCCGAGCGCACGGGTGGCGGCCACTAGCAGCAGCAGCAGCAGCAGCAGCAGCAGCAGCAGCAGCAGCAGAAGCAGCAGCAGAAGCAGCAGCAGGCGAAGGTGAGATCATAATGACCCACTGCAGCTCATCAAATTAAAGGCTGCGACAGTGGCCGTAAACATTACATAATCGCGTTACGTAAGCGTCAGGACCATGGACAGCGCGTGTCAGTGCGCTGCGATGCATCCATGCGCGTACGCGGTGAGAATAGAGGAGCAGACCCTTTCTTAACATGGGTTCTTATTATAAACAGCGTCCATTCGTCTCCACTATCTGCACTGCAAGAAGGCGAGAAGCGAGGCAGAGCGCGCCATCTGCTGGTCACACACACGAGCTGCATCAGTGGCTGAGTATCACAGCATGAAATATTGATTCAGAGCGGACACTGGTGTGGTTCATTTCTGAAAGTGCTCTGCTCTATAATAAAAAAAAGATATGCATAATAGATTAATTATAAATGTTAACTCACAGATAAATTATTGAGAAATGTGGAAAAGTAAAGTGTTTTCCAAGGTTAAAACTGTAAAATGTGTAGTTCAGGATTTATGCGCAAGTGCAAAAACAAGTCCAAGGTTGTGGGTGCAGCTCCATCAGAGCAGTTAATCAGCCTTGAAATGATAACATTCAAATTGTAGGTCATGAATATTATGTTGAACTCAAACTGTGAAAATTCAATATATATCCAACCTAACGATCATTGAATAATAATAACCTCAACACTCATCAATGGGCAAAGCCTGTATATATAGATTACAAGTGCTTTTACCATTCCTCATGATGTTAAAACCACAATGATTTAACTATTTCAATTATTATTCAAACATTGCATCACGTTGCATCGCCACACAAGCATGACTAAACTGGGACTGGGACTTATTATTATAAAATACGGTCACAATATTTAGTTATTTTTTTGTTACTGCTATAGGTTCTTAATTAGACTGGAAAGTCAAAATCAGACACAATTAACATTCATAGATTTTGTATGTTAAATAATGTTACACCAGATCTAACATGTTTTGAAACATTAAAGCTGAGGAACTTTCACTTTTCCATTTCACTTATTTTTTTGCTCCAACAGAAAGAGTCTTGTAAAAGTAAAATGTTGTGAGCAAATCAAACAACACCACACTGTAAAAAAATGTCCTTGTAGAAAAACATTAAAATGCTGGCAAATATGGTTCCAGGAATCTACCGTTATCTCAACATGGCATTATCGTTGCTAATTTTAACGGTTAAAGACTGTTTCACTGAATAACATTATGTCTTTGTGATTTTAGGATTTACCTGTATGTTCCTGTTCATTCACATACAACAAAAACAGCATTATAATGTTAATTTTGTATTATTACACCATATGACTTTCTGTTTCTAATTAGTTTCATTGAACAAAAAACTACACAGTCTAATTTTGTTTCCTTTCATGAACACAACTGTTCAATTCGTTTTTAACATCCTCAGTTTATACAAGAAAATAGTAGAAATCTTTACTTCTATAACATGCGTGACTCAAAAGCACCATGTTCACAAAAGCAGGAGTTTACAGCTCTTACTCATGCCTCTACACTCATGGTTGCTCGCTGGCAAACATTTCCCAGCATTCCAAAAAAACAACAAGTTGATGTTAAATTACGGTACTACATTGTGATTCACAGTGTGATTTTATGGTCTTGTAACGTTTTTTTGAAATCACATTATACTGTAACTGTGGTAATAAAACGCCACTGGATGTTTTCTAACCCATTTATACTCACATTTGCATGTTTGAATTGTTTTTCAAAATATATAATTTCTTTAATGTTGAAATTTCATTATAATTTTACATACATTTGTGACAGTGCATGCCTTTATCTCCTGCACACAAGAAAGAGCCTTGTGAGCAACTGTTTGCCTCTTTGGGCTAAAAAGCAGATTTTGAGGGTATTCTTTTCTTCTTCAGTTTTTTATCTGAAAAAAGTGGATCTAAAAATATGACAGAGGCCGATAAGACATGAGAAAACTAGTGATAGATCCCAAGTGTTTTGACTGACTATGGTTCCATAATACTAACTAGCTTTAGAATCTGACCTGAGAGGATGAAGAAGATTCCGGAGACGAAGGCCAGGATGGTGCGCTGGGGCCGGATGTGGCCGATGTTACTGATGACGAAGGCCGTGAAGACGAAGAGCAGAGACACCATGGGAAACGGAGTGGCAGTGCGCACCATCTCTGAGCAGGAGAGAGGACAAAGTCAGCAACACTATACACTTATTTATCGGGTCACTGTCTGGATAAACAAGCAAGCTAAGCAAGTCAGGCCCTGGTTAGTGCTTACAGATGGGAGACCGCAAATGTCAGAGGGGAATGCTGTGTCTGTAGCTGCTGTGTTCTTAAGCAAGGTCTGGTGTGTGTGTGTGTGTGTGTGTGTGTAGGTGTGTGTGTGTATTTGTGTGGTGGTGGTCAGAGCCCAGGGGCCAAAGCTGCTGATTGGCAGCCTCATCCCTGGACTAAATGAATAATGCAATCTAAAGCATTTTTGAGTGTTCAAAAAAGTGCTACATAAAACTGATGTATTGAATATATTTTGAAAAAAGTTTGAGTATATAAATAAACACGGAAATTCATATTGAGAACTGTTTGTCATTGAAAAAGAATGTACAAAAAAGTAGTACCCACATTTGATTAATAGTGTTATAGGGCGGCAGTAGCTCAGTTGGTAGAGCGTTGGCCTTTGAGCCAGAAGGTCGTGGGTTCAAGCCCCGCTCAAGACTTTCACCATCGACTCCCACTGACTACTGTCGTTGTGTCCTTGGCAAGACACTTAACCTCTGGGAACACCAGCCACAGTGGGGCGGCTGTAAAGTGCCAAACTGCCGTTGTGTCCTTAGGCAAGACACTTCACCCCCATTGCCTAGAATGAGTCTGGTGTGTGTGAATGGTTGGTGGTGGTCGGAGGGGCCGATGGCACATACTGGGTGCCTCGCTTCTGTCAGTGTGCCCCAGGGCAGCTGTGGCTACAGTAGTAGCTTATCACCACCGTGTATGGAGTGAATGAATAATGACACATGTGAAGCGTCTTTGAGGGTCCAAAAAAGCGCTATATAAAACCGATGCATTATTATTATTACCACTTTCACTAAAATATTCATGAGTAAAGTACACAAACATGGAAATACTGCTTTATATGAGTAGCAATATCTATCTCTTAAAAAAATAAAGGCTAAAACATACATTTACACTGAAAACAGAATTGGCTTTCTCAGCAACTTTGGACTGATGAAGTTTTCTTGCGTGTCACCTTGTAAATGAATTCCTAAAATCTTACTGTGTGATATTTTATTGACAAAGTAATACTCACTCAGAATATTTGCAGTATTTTCTGTGGTTATTTCAATGTCTGGTTCAGTGAAGTATTCGGATGCAACACACCGTCCATTTTCTGTCCCTGTTTGGAAGCCAAAGCAAAGAAAACTGTTGTTATTTCTGTTGTAGACATGCAAAAACCGCATTTGTCCATTATTCAAATCAAATTCACCGTTTTGGATTCACGGGCAGTTAAATACGACTGTACCCGCTGCTGTTGTTAGAACCATGTGACTTATATTTCAGTGACTAACTCCTTAATCCTGCCGTATTTATAATTACCCACTACACAGCGTTAATATCATAGATGGTGATTTGACCTTTCCCTTTCCCCATCTCAATTAAACACATGCTTTTGATATGCATGTGTTTAAAGCATATGTTATGGATTCAAGTGTGAGCTTATGTGACCATTTAAAAGATTATTTGCTATTAGTACAATGCTGCGTTGAATTTGAACTCCATTTTGACTTATCTTAAAATACATATGACATATTATATTTTGTGTTATAATAAAAAAAAAATGTTCTGGTGAATGAGGCTTGTTTGGAATATTTCTGTGATGTCAATATAGCCAAAGTTTGTGAAGAAACAAAAATAGAGCAGAATTCTAATCACACAGTAGGGAAATTCTGCTCTCACTCTAAAGTTTTGTCACATTTTTAGAGCAATTTTTAGAGAAGCTTTGGCCCAGTTTATTCCATGGTTGCCAGCTATCATTCTTGCCACGCTGTCCTCATTTACACTCAGCAAGTTGAAAAAAAAGAGAGAAAAACTGAGAAGAACAATAATGTAAACCATACTTTGTGAAAGGTATGGAATAACTGGCCATACACACTTTTAACTCTGTACACTTTGTTCAATGTAAAACCACAATATTGATCTAAACCGGCTTAATAATAGAAACAGATCCATTGACTTCCTGCAGAACTGAAAAGCCCCGCCTTCTTCATAGTTAAATATCACACGAGTGAGCATCACATTTTCCATGATTTTATTGTTGTGGCATTCTAAAGTGCAACATGTATGAGCCTGAAGAGATAGAGGCGGGTGAACTCGGACATTATGTGAGGCTCACTTCTCAAATCCAGGACAAGAGAAGATCGCTCAGACATGCAGAAATGTATCAAAGTACAACATTATGTGTTCCAAGTGCAAGGTAGACTGTGTGCAGATAGGTAATACTTAGAGACATGGCTGTAATCTCCTGAAAAAACATCATTCTACCGAATAATAAAATGTCTCCACAGTTTTAAATGCTTTTATGTGTACTTTTTACTTCATAGATATAATGTATACTACTGGCCAGAGCTCTTTGTTTTGATTTCTATTCCTATCAATACCTTCCCATGCCCTCACAAGCTACTTCTGCTTCTGTCTATTCCTTATGTATTGTCCTGTTTAAACACAAAGCAAAGATATTATGTAAGCTCATTCCTTCAATCATACATGATGGGAGAGAAGTATAGGTCCAGAGAGTTTTTGGACCTGTGTCTTGTCTGCGTGTGTGTATGTGTGTGTTTTGTGTTTGTCAGAGGAGTTGAAGCCAAATAACCGTGTCTGCTTTGTCCGACCCACTTTCAAACTGTGTATTTCTGTTTATTTTTCATGATTTTTTTTGCTGAATGTACAAGAGTTTGAAATGAATATGATTTATTTGATTTGATAACCCTGTAGTATCTATCTACTGTATCTATCTATCTATCTATCTATCTATCTCTAGACTCACTCTCACACTTCAAATCCACCCTCAATATTTGTTTAGACAACATCATAACCATACAATCCTCTGTTCATGCTGCTTTTAACTATATTTTATCTTGTATTTTAACTTGTGTTTTAACTTGTGTTTTAACAGATTGTACTTTTTAAGTGATGTAAGGGGACCTTGAGTATCTAAAAAGGTGCCTATGAAATAAAATGTATTTTTGAAATGTATTATCTATCTACTGAGTCCATTTTATACACCTAAAGTATACTCCATCTGTCCTGCTGTGCATACATCCATAAAAGTCAAAGCAACATTAAAAAAGCCTTCCTGTCCTCCACACTTCTCCCAAACTCGGCTCCTACATCCCCCCATCCCGCTCTGACCCCTCTGCCCCCTGTACGTCTTAACATCTGTCCGTGCCGCGGGGCATGTGGCAGAGGACAGCGTTTTGCACTCGGGCCGCTGGATACCGTACCGGCCACAAAGCAGACCCTCCACAGGCCCGAATGCAGCGCCATCTTGACCTCCATGCTGTGGTTCTGCTGCAGGATGATGCCCTCCACCATGATGAGCCAGTAGTCGGTGGACACGGCCACGCCCACCAGCAGCAGCCCACACGCCCCGAACACCGTGGAGAGGATGGTGAGGGCGCGGCTGCTGCACGAACTCATCTGCAACAAAACAGGAAAGAGACGTAGGGCGTGGTCACACCTGTTGGTCTGGTTCACTTTAACTGGATCAGTCCCGGCTCATTGGGGTAAAAAGTCTTTATTTGTGGAGGTAAAAGCACCAAACTAGTCACTAAGGGCAATGTCTGCAACTTCACAAGTATTAATCTTTTATAGAAACAAGTGAGTAATTACCTTTTCTAAATATATATAACGTCTTTCACAGACCAAAGTCACAAAGCGCTTTACAATTGTTGTGTCTCTCACTCCACACAGAGCGGGCGAGAGTGCTATCCACTCAGCAATCGTGTCACAAATACAAATATTTTGCACTGTAGTGTCAATTGAATTAAGTATTTTTAAAAAGAACATAAAGCAGTAGTTTCCCTAAAATCACCAGTAGGACTTTCTGGAGGAGAACAATTAGATTTATGGTGAGGGGCCTCAATCTATTGAGGATTTTAATTAATTGTGTCCAATCAGGAAGCTGTGGGGGCGGGTCTTACTGACGCTTGCATTAAAAAAATGTCTTTCCATCTTCAAAATGACCTTCACTCGAATCATTTATATTTTAAAACAGATATCAAACAATTTTTTTCCAAAGTGAACCAGACCAACACGTGTGAATGAGCCAAAAAAGAAAGAAAAGAAAAAAAATGAAACGTTTTTCCTGTTATTTGAGTGAATTCTTGGGCCGCTGTGTTTAGGTAAAGTTATTCTTACACAAATCATTCAACAAACATTCCAAGCCCATGCAGCCATCATTTCGTCAACAAAATAAAAAAGATACAAATATATTTCTTTTATTGTATAATCCTTTTCCGAGAAGCCGTGTCAGTCGCACAAGTAGCAAGGGAACAAGAACCTTAAGCTCATTTCAAAACTAATATGACAAATAAAAGGACTTGTATTATGGGTGAAGGCGGCACTTCCACCTGTCCTGAGTGGGCTGGGTTAAAAAGTAATGACATTTCCCCACTGTGGGATGAATAAAGAACTTCTTAATCTTAATCTTTTGCCACACGAGTAGACTGCTAATAACTGCTGTTGAATTGACCAAAATAGAGCACAAGCCTTAGGGCCATGTTGAATTTTTAGAAGTCAACAAATTAAAGGCTTCCTCAAAATTGCCCAATTCTACGTTTTCATAGAAACTGATCTGGTTTTTCCTCACCGTAGAATGTGGAAAGTGACATTTGTGCACGTATAAAAATACAAAAATGCTTTATAAATAAGCCGCTGGTAATGACAGTGGGTCTATCCTGCTGGGTCTTACTGTGATTACAAAACAATGAAGAAGTCACTAGTCTCTCTCTGTCTCTCACACTCTTTCAGTTCATACTATCCTTACATAACATTTGTGCTGTCGTGCTGTAGAAGACTGTGAAGTCCTGATGCAGACCCAGATGACAGAGGTTCAGATATGACTCACAATCTCTCACACTGGCTTCATTCATGTGTGGGACAAGTGTGTGTGTCCAAACTCACCCACTGTTACCTCACCACTACTATCATCACTGCACAAAAGACATGGATTTATGCATACTTCTCAATCAACATGATATCAAGACAGGCAGAACAAAACTGAAAGGCAGTAATCACTCTGATTTGTAGTAAAAACAATTACTGAAGTCATGGTTTGGGGAGCATATTTGTACCAGCACGAGCAATCCTCTCTTAGTTTATTAAGATTCATATAATGCCTGGCTGATGATTTAAGGTTGAGTTTCTCTCAGTGTGGGTACATATCGAGTAAGCGCTTTAAAAAGGTAGATATCGATGCCTCTAGTACTTTAAAACTCTTGGAAGTACTTTGTTTATCCTTATTCTTTCTCTATTTCAGAATACAGGAGCAGCTTCCATTGGTTTTGTTGTTTTTGTTTCAATACAGTTTTAATGAAACAGTTATGATGAATAGTGTAGAGGGCTGCTTTTAAAAAAACACTGCAAATTGCCAGACTTTTAGATGAGATGAGAATGATAAAACTTGGTAGAACTAAGTTTGTTGAAAGAATCTCTCAACAAAATCTGACATTATGTAACGATAACAAGGGAGAAAAGGGGACTTCTAAATGTTTGACTGTCTGTCTATAGTTATGTACACAGTGTTGGAAAGTATTGCGGCATACAAGAGTGAGCATCAGTTGTAGTTTTTCTTTGATTGATCGTTTTTTAACTTTGACCACAATTTGACAGCATTTGAAATCAGGTGTAATGTGCTTTCTGCTGCACTATATTTTGGACTGAAAAGTATAAAACATTTGACCAATTGATTTTGGAGCTGCTAACAGAGATGTTTGCAAGTTTTGACTTTGAAAAAATTCATCAGACAAAATGAAAAATGTTGCTTCAGGTGAGCCGAATAAGAAACCATTAATTATTATAAATGAGTGAGAAGTACATTTCTTATAGCGGTACATCAGTGGATTTTGTATGTGATAATTTTACTTTTTGTGCTTCTGTATTCTTGTGTTTACTTCCACTATTTGTATTTGTATTTACGTATGTTGATCTCCATAAGCTGATTAAACACAGCTATTATTCATGGAGTCAAGCAGATTGTATCAACACATATACATGACAATTATTCTTCTAAAATACAAATAATTAGTTTGAAAACAATAAAGATGCAGGAATGACACAGACTGTTTTGCTATTTTTGTTATTGATTAACAATGATTGTATTATAGTTACTCTACCTGAACAAATATACGTTAAGGAAACTAAAACATCTAGGCTAAATCATGTTTGTGAAAGGCTCTGTAGTGTATTGACTCCAGGACACTTTCTATACAGCGACCTGGCTTGCAAAATAACACAATTAAAACATTCCTCTACATTTCTTTTATTTATTTATGTTATTGATTTCGGTTTTCCAGTTCAGGGCTCCTCTTGAGGTTCACATCAAATTCTAGTCAAAACCGGACCCTTCTCTGTCCTTTCTGTCCACCTTTTAAATCTAAAACCAATGGTAACATTAGACACATTTTCACGCCTATTACATGAATGGTTGAATCTGTAGTGAGACCGGACTCGTGGTTTGGGAGCAGCGTGACGAGACCATGTGCTGTGGAGTGAGGGCCGATCAATGGGTGTATTGCTTCACTGCAGTAAAGCGCTTTCGCCTTCAGCACCACGGACAGCTCCACTCAGCCTGCGCGCACCCAAGACATGCCCATCCAACAACAAGAGGCGAGTGGATACCGTTTGTGCTTCCCGGACACTTCTGCACCACCATTCATCACAGATTTAGGACTTGCGCGGACAGCTAGGGAACCCTCTGTCTCCAGTGATTTGTGATAACGATCCAATTTAACAGAGAGAGACAGGCCCCTTCAGGCTCCCGTACCCAGAAAGTAATGAGCCGGTTGAATTGGTTAGATAGGCAGCCACGGGGGCACAAAAGGTTTAATTTGTTCTAATCTGTCACCATCTCCAGACTGACATCTTGAAGCGGAGGTGAAAAGGGAATACGGGCTGGCACAGAGATAGTCCTTAACCTCTACATATCCATGGGGTGCCCATGGCGTGACCGCGGGGCTGAGGGGCGCGCCCACACCTGTGATAACAAACAAAAACCCAAACCACTATCTAATCTGAACAGTCTGAAGCTTAAAAATAAAACACTGGTTATATTGATGTAAAGAGAAAGGATAGTGACATTTACTCAGTAATGCGTTTAAAAGTTTGCCCTGAAACCTTACCTCTGCCGCTGTGCACATGTGGACTTTGGAGAATAAACACAACAGCGCATGTGAGCCGCAGAATCATCAGGAGGAAAAAAAAAAAGACTGCTCGCGTGTTGGTCTGACGCCAAAATAAGCGTGCACTTCAATACGCACGCAAAAGAGATGGGACTGAAGCAATATACAGCGCACAAATGCATCAGAATACAGCTATATACAGCAGCTGCCTGTTTCATTGAATCCGTCATAACGAGTTCATACAGATTCCCCACAGAAAACACACCACGCAACTCACAAACGAAGCAGAAGTAGTACTTACCCTGCCCCGGGAGTCGTGCGCTCACGTCGGCGACAAACGCACTGGTGAACTCTGGTGCCAAAACGCGTCTACCGTGTCTTATCGCTAACTCTATCCCTTTATCTTTCTTGTATGAATATTTTGCGTAAAGTAGTGTTCATTCTGGCTGTCAACGGCTCCGTCAATGCGTCCCTGGCTATGCGTTGCGCAGCGCTGGATCACTTCTGCTACTCTGGCTTCAAAAGAGACATGAGTGGTGGAAAAGGAGAGAGAGAGAGTCAGGGAGAGAGAGGGTGGAGAGGGAGAGGGAGAGAGAGATAGAGGGAGAGGGTGCGCGTGCTGGCGTGAGTGAAGGGGTGGGGTGTATAGGGGGCAGCACGACCACACATCACATCTCCTATCATTTTACAAGATGTTTGCTCAATAATGCAGCTCGTGTGTCATGGCAGTATAGAGTGAACCATGTGAACGTGGACAAAACGCACCACTTTTCTGCACTTAACATAAAGGAGTAATTTAAAGGTGTAGGCTGTGGTTGTTCGCTGTGGATGTGTTTATCTTGGAACATTTAGTAGGCATTTATTACCAAGCTCTTTTTACTGTATAATAGCATATGCCTTCTATTTCCGTTTCTTCTGTCTTTCTGTCTGTCTTTCGTTCTTTATGTATTTTTTATTGCACAATACATGTATTGTTCAGACCATACATACAGTAGCTACTATAGTTCATTTTTATCCCTATAGTCCGTGGGTGGAGGCAAAGTGACAGCAGATTTAAAGTGTGCAAATAATGAATACATAGAATGACCTAGTTAGCAGGTAAAGTAGTGGTAAAATGTAACACCCTCAAGCACAAAGAGACACAATGAGTACATGATACACACAATTATTTACGATCTGCTTAACGACGACGCACTTGCCGATTTTGAGTCAGGTTTTAAGGCTGTGTTTAAACTGCCCCTGTGAGCTACACTCCCTCAGAGGCAGAGGTAAGGAGTTCCAGGCCCCTGCTGCTTTGAC